TCATTATCGCTTGGCAGTTTAATACCTAAAAAACAAACTATTACAAACATTAAAAATCATCTACAAAAAATCCATACAGAAGAATGGAAATCATTTTGTGACATTGAAATGGGAATAAAAGTTCGAAAATTGGAACATATGAAAACTCCACATGATGTTACACAACCAGTTTCCAGGACATTTCAGCCCAACCTGCATCAAATAATGGAACTTAAGTCACCTGCTCTATGGCCTGATGATCATCCGATATCATCTAGGATTGATAAGGGTATCATGGACCTTATTATTGTCGACATGTTACCATACTCTATCGTTGAAGGAGAAGCTTTTCAGCGTTTAAATTTTGGAGATCCTAATGTTACTTCCAAATACAGAAAAAAAATGCAAAAGTTTTTTAGAACTAGTTTAATGCCAGCTACCTATGAAAGAGTTTGGAAAAAAGTATCAAATTTAGTTTCTAAAGCCGAATGGATAAGCTTTACGTCAGATATTTGGAGCAATCCTGCTAAAACCTGTTCTATTTTTAGTTTTACAGCTCACTTTGTTCATGGTTCAAAACGTCTTAAAGTTATATTAGGCGCTAGTGTGCTTAATGATGACCACACTAGTATGTTTATTGCAAGTAAACTTAATGAAATAATTAAAAATTTTAAAATAGAAAACAAAATTCATATAGCTGTAACTGATAACGCAGCAAATATGGTCGCGGCTATTCGTATTACACAATTTACATCTCTAAGATGTGTGGTTCACTCATTACAACTTGTAATTCATGATTCATTATTAAAACAGGAATTAATTGAAAACACAATTAAAAAATGTCGTAAATTTGTGGGACATTTTAAAAGGAGTGAACAAGCATGCAGGTACCTGAGGCAGTTTCAACAAACTTGCAATTTGCCACAGCATATGTTAATTCAGGATGTGGAAACAAGATGGAATAGCACTTATCTAATGTTGGAGCGGCTATTCGAACAGAAAGTTGCAATAAATTTGTATATGGCTGAACGTGGTGGTATTGAAGTTCCCAGTTCAACAGAATGGGAATTGATCAACAATTTAATTTCAGTTTTAACTTGTTTTTACCAAGCGACGCTAGATCTTTCAGCCGATTCTGCTTGTGTATCATTGGTTATCCCACTAAAAATGCTAAATGGTAAAGTTTCTGCGAAAGAGCAGGACTCTGAGGAGATAAGTTTATTAAAGCTACGACTTCGTGAATCATTAATTAAAAGATTCGCTAATATTACAAATTTGCCAGAATTGTCAATTGCGACTCTTCTAGATCCTCGCTTTAAATCAAAATATTTGACAGACGAGGAAGTAATTACATGTAAAGCAAGAATTTTAAAATTTCTACGTGAATCTGATAGCTCTAAGTTTAGTTATACAAATAAAGTTCCTATGGCTATCGCTTCAACATCATCATCTACAACTACACATGTAGAAGATCTAGAAAACAATAGTCTTTGGAATTCACATGATACTTTTGTCACAGCCGTTCTAGATACAACAAAAGAAATTCATAACGACAACGATCCCAATGCAGATTACCTAGATTCGTATTTACGAGAGGCTTTGCTTTTAAGAAGTGCCGACATATTTCATTATTGGGAATCAAGTCCCTATATTTCTTTAAAAACTGCAGCCAAAAAATTTCTATCGGCACCACCAACGAGTGTACCTAGTGAGCAGTTATTCAGCTCTGCTGGGCAACTATACGCTGACAGAAGAACTAATTTGTTGGGAGAAAACGCTGACAAGCTTCTTTTTCTTACTACCAGATCCAGTAATCATAAATACTCACTTGCTTTAATGTTTTTTAATGTTATTTATTTTTATTATCGTTTCTATTACCAAATAATGTATAAATATTTGACTTTTTTATCTCATAATTTTATATTTTTGTTTATCACTTATCAGTTAATAAAAATTTAATGCACATTATTTAAATTATTAACATATAATAGGTAATAGGTATATTTTTAGTCACCTTCGGCTTCGGCTTCGGCCGAAGGTATCCTTCAGGCCGAACTTCGGCATCGGCTTCGGCCAAAAAAATCACATTCGGTCGGTCTCTACTAGACTGTTATATTTCAGTAGACGATCAGGTAGAAACATTTCAAGTTATAAGTGAAAAAGAAATTGTGGAACAAGCGCAAAATGTGAAATTGGATGTTAACGAAGATAATGACGAAGAAGAAGACGGCGATGATTGTCCTACAATCCAAAAAACAATGAGATCTACTGAGACCATATCCAGGTTTTACCAGTTCAGGGAGGCATCCACAACTACCAAAAAAGCAGTTCAGATTATTAAGGACACCATAGAAAAACTTTTTTCCGAAAGGGTTGTGCAGAAGAAAATAACTGACTTTTTCAGCATTAGAGAACTTTTTCATAAAAAATGTAAGTTTAATATATATAAGATATGTTTTATTTCTTAATTTTTTATCCTAAATGCAGGTCTAATATTAAATATTGCTGTAATAAAATTTTGACAAGTTAAAATTTAATTTTTTTCTACCTCTTTTAACGTCACTCTGATATAGCATCCTTTTTTACTCGACTCTTCAATGGTGCTATAACCAAGTTCCACTGTATTCAAACACGGTAAAGGCAAATGAAACAACATATTAGACAGACAAACTTTTTGGTTAAATTGGTTTTTCCTATAATGAACATAATTTATAGATATATTTGACGTTAAATGTAAGCTTAATATACGCCAGTGTTGCCATATACTCAATTATTTTATACTCTCATATATAACATTATGGGCAAGATTTATATTATATGAAATGAAAATTTAAAACAAACAAAAACGTGAAAAATACATATATAATTAAAAACAATAAAATTATACCTATAAATATTATAAAATAAAATTATATCTTGCATTTAAAAAATACTTATATAATAAAAACCATTAAAATTATGCTTAAAGTAAAAATTAATAGTTTAGACACTTTAAAAACTACAGAATAAAGTAAAGTTAAATGAAAATAAAAAAACTAGGTTAAACAAAAGAATACATTAAATTAAACTTTTTCAGAATGTGTCTTAGACCAGAAAGTTTTAATTAAATATTAACGATAACAGTCTAAAATGTGAAACAATTGTTAAAAAACTTCAATATAAATAAGATTTCATGTGACAGTTGGGACAAATAATAACATAACCCAACTAAATTTAATTTCTTAAACAAGAAAATACTCTCTTTCCTTGTTTAATTTGGCCTCTCAAGATGGCACTTCCTGTCTCACAATATTTTTGCCCCCACATTCCCTCTTTTGTTTTTTTGCTCAATGAATAGGCCTTTACCCCTCATACGTTCCCTCCACATAAACTCTTGTAGGTACAAGGGAAAAAAATATGTGGAAGTACCACATTGTCTCCGGAGTTTCTTTTTGGAGCGCATCCAAATATTCTCTATCGATTGTGTATGAGCACTGTTATCATCTGGATTGACGAAGTTATTCTGATGAATAACAGTTCGGTGCTCATACACTCCTCCACCCAGGAGACCAATGTTCGTATATGCTCCCCATCCGTCAGTAACAATTACCGTACCTTGTAGAATTGTTCTAAAAAGAACATTACTTTATTATATGACTAAATATTTGTACTATTAATATACCGTGATATAATGGGCAGTAGTGTCTCTTCACTTCGTGTTTGCACTGGTGTCAGAAACAGTTTTCCACTATTTCTTTCCACTCCTCCAAAAACCCATTGCCCTTTTCTGTAGGCACCTCTGTGATACTTCCTGTGGAAGAAATAGGATTCGTCAAGTTCCACGGTGAGGGGTTCTCCATTCTCATCGAATCCTCCTAATTCCGCAGGATGCTGCTCCAAATATCTGATACAAACTTCACGGCAAAAATTGCACCAGTCGCTCACAGTAGCACCAACGGTACCTACTACTGCTTCCTTGCCAACTAGATTCTGCAGGAAGTCGTTTGCAAAACCAACATCACAATTATTATTTGGTAAAGGGCCATGTGGCTTCTAGAAAAAAAATGAGCCGTCACGGATTGATGTGGACGTCAGGCAGGATTTGCATTTCTACATATACTGCTGTGTTCTTCCACTGCGTTTCACCAATGTTTTATTTATTTCGCATGTGTTGCAGAATACTGTACGCGATTGTTAATGTACTAATGTTCCAAATTTCTTCGCGAATTTGTTCAAATGTTAGTTCGCTCCCCGGGGTAACAATAAACGTAGCCATGATAATAAAAAATATTTTATTGTCGCAAAATATGGCCACTTTCACTGCACTCTGAAAGTACACTGCATGTGCATCTGAAAGTACTAAAAAATACCTAACAAAAAGTAGGTACATTGTTTTCAAAAAGATTTAAGAAATTGTCATCTGCTAACCATCTGTAGCCATCTAGCAATTTCTGTTTTGAGATTTCTGGCTTCATTGCCAAATATATCAGTTTACAAAATAATTCACAAATATAGCAATTTATAAAATAATTTACAATATTTAGTTATATTTAAAGTAAAAAATACTATTAATGAATGCTTTTTAATATGAATTCAAAAATTGTGGCTTCTCATAACGAAACATATAAAAATTAATGGGAAAATCTCAGTAGTTGGCTATATACCATCGTTTAAAAAACTTATACAGAAGTAAAACACTTCACATTTGTATTTAGGTATATACCTAAATACAAATGTGGAGTATTTTACTTCTGTATAAGTTATTTAAAACGTTATATATCATTTCGTCAAAGTATATTTATATTTTAAAAACTTCTTTACTTTATACAAAAAAATATGGCAACTCTGTGACGCATAAACATATAATTCGATGCCAAGGTTATGTTCATTGTCCTAAAAACCAATTTAGCCAACTTTTTAGCTGTTTAGAATATAATATGACTTATTGACACGATTAGAAATTCATTAATGGAATACACAAATACATTTATTCTCTGCCATTTGCCCCTTTAATATTTTAGAAATTTAAAATAACCCTTTTATTTTATATCAAACATATAAAAAACAATGTACAATAAAACAAACATAAAAAATCAGTCTTTATAGCGTATATCCTGGAAATTTGGCTGCCATTGGATTTTGAATATCCAACAAAAAATACATTGGACCTGCGATACCTTCAAATAGAGATTTAGGTCTATTTGGGGAGTGTTCTTCGTGTTCTTTTTTATATTCAATACACCATTCTGCAAATTTTAGGGCTCTGTAGAGATGTTTTTCTTCCTAAAATAGATACTTCCTTAAATAATCTATATTCCCTTTATAACAATAATGCAATAATCCAATAAATCCTCTTTTAGGTTTTGATCGTTTTCCAAGTTTTGTTAAGTTAAGCTAATTAATGCATGTAAAGAAAATGGTAAATTTTTGATGAGAGTAATTCAAGTAAGCAAGGGATCTAGAATCTAAATCTATGGAAATTACTTTACTCCTTTAAACTTATTCATTATTTAGGCACAGGCCTAGGAACGCGTGAAGCTCTTTTTACACTGAATATACTGATACAAAGATGCCTGGACGTCAATCAAGATATATACGCATGTTTTATTGACTAAAATAAAGCATTCGATAAAGTACGACATAAACAATTAATGAATGTCCTGAAATCAAAGAAGATTGACTACAACGACCTCAGGATAATATCAAATTTATACTATAAACAGTGAGCAAAAGTATGTGTTAACGAACAGCTGTCAGAAGAAATTGAAATTAGATGTGGAGTGAGACAGGGATGCGTATTGTCGCCAATTCTTTTTAATGCCTACTCCGAAGAGATCCTGAAAAAAGCTCTTGAGGGTGAAACAAGTGGAATAAAGGTAAATGGAGTTCCCATTAACAACATTAGATATGCGGACGACACTGTGATCTTAGCCAAAAACATTGAAGATCTTCAGAGACTGGTGACCAGAATAGCAGAGTATGGAAAAGAGTATGGTCTAACAATGAATGTCAAGATGACGAAATTTATGAGAATATCGAAAACTCAAAGAAATAAAGAGAATCTTCTAATAAACGGAACCAGTGTAGAACAAGTTGACAAATATGCATATCTGGGAACAATTATTAACTCCACAAATGATTACAATCAGGAAATCAAAATAAGAATAGAAAAGGCTAGAGCAAATTTCAACAAAATGAGAAGAGTACTATGTACCAGGGATTTAAAACTGGCACTAAGAGTTAGGTTGGCGAGGTGCTATGTTTTTTCGACCTTATTTTATGGAATGGAATCTTGGACCTTAAATGCGACATCAATAAAAAAAACTGGAATCATTAGAGCTGTGGGTGCGCAGAAGAATAATGAAAATATTGTGGACAGAACATGTCACAAACAAAGAGGTTCTGGGAAGAATGAATAAAGAAATGGAAATTTTAAATACAACAAAAACAAGAAAATTAGAATATCCCGGACATATTACACGTGGAGAGAAATACACCTTGCCCCAGCTGATTATACAGGGAAAGATCCAAGGAAAGAGAAGCATAGGGAGGCGTAGAATGTCTTGGCTATGCAACCTGAGAGACTGGTACAGATGAACTTTTCAGAGCAGCCAGCCGTCTCAAAAGTCCGAAAGGCTATGATGATTGCCGACCTCCGCCGCGGAGATGGCACTTGAAGAAGAAGATTATTTACATCTATAATATAAAAATGAATCGCAAAATGTGTTGGTAAGCGCATAACTCAACAACGCATGGACCGATCTTGACAAGTCTTTTTTTAAAATGTTCTTTGAAGTCTAAGGATGGTTTTTACGGCATGAAAAATTCGAATGATTTCCGGAAAATCCTAAAACAGCTTTTTTCTTTTTCCCATACAAATATTTTCTAACTAAATGTAGAGTCAATTTGAACTTTATTGCCATTCAATAAAGTTTATATTAAATTACAAGCACTCATTGTTGTCTAAACAATCTATAATACAAAAATGAATCGCAAAATGCGTTGGTAAGCGTATAACTCAACAACGCATGAACCAGTCTTAAAAATTATTTTTTTTTTAAATGTTCCTTGAAGTCTAAGGATGGTTTTTACGGCATGAAAAAATTCGAATAATTTCCGGGACAACCCTAAAACAGCTCTTTTCTTTTTCTCATAAAAATATTTTCTAACTAAATGTAGAGTCAATTTGAACTTTATTGCTATTCAATAAAGTTTATATTAAATAACAAGCACTACATGTTGTCTAAACAATCTATAATATAAAAATTGATTGCAAAATGTGTTCGTAAGCGCATAACTCAACAACGCATGGACCAATCTTAGCAAGTCTTTTTTTTAAATGTTCTTTGAAGTCTAAGGATGGCTTTTACGGCATGAAAAATTCGAATGATTTCCGGAAAACCCTAAAACAGCTTTTTTCTTTTTCCCATACAAATATTTTCTAACTAAATGTAGAGTCAATTTGAACTTTACTGCTATTCAATAAAGTTTATATAACCTCGGTAGTTATAGTGTTGAGAAATATCAACCAACCGCGTCTTTGCAACGGCACACGGTTGGTGCCGTGAAAAAAAATATTGAACAACGTGATAGAAGCAACTATACTGAAAGGAAAGTATAAAGGAGAAGACATTTTGATACCACGCACCCCAATGATTCCGACTGATATACCATTTGAATTTAAAGGACTACAGTTTCCAGTGCGGCTTGCTTTTGCTATGACCATAAATAGGCCCAGGGGCAATCATTAGGTATTTGTGGTATTAATATAGAAAAATCATGTATCTCACTGTTCCCGTGTTGGAAAACCACTAGATTTGTGTGTATATTCACCAGATAATCAAACAAAAACATTGTATATCATAAAGTACTACAATAAAAATAAAACAGATTTTTGTTAATAATTATGATTCAATTACTTTACAATAAAGAGATTACTGAAAATATAAGTTTTATTTTATTATTCTTTATTATATCGGTTATTAACCCTATGTTAATAATAAAAATAATAATAAATAATTAATTATCTCTATATTTTGTCATTGAAGCACCCACTTTATAAATATTTGTCACCTTTAGGTTTTCACTATCTCTTTATATTATTTTTCAATCAGGTTTGAACCTTAAGTTCCCCTCTTAGTTCGAAGCACTTTGTCCCGACATCCCAGTCGGGGTTTTTAGTGGGTCCAAATGGGTGGCCAAAGTTCGTCGAGGCAAAGATACTTAGGTCACCCGAGCTGACCCTCACACACCACCCTATCATCATGGTGACGGTACTGTTCAGAAGAATTAAAGAAATAAACTGCCACATTCCAAATCTATTTGACAGAACGAAGTGTGTCGGGTCCACTAGTTCTTTAATAAAAATTAACCACAATTTATACAAATATGGTATTAAAGCATATCTACGTCACTATGTCAAAATTTACACCTTTTGAGATCTTTACACATTTTACTACGTCTACTTCTATTTTTCCGTATTAACATTATTTTTGATTGTAAAAACTTACCAAGTCATCTCAAACAAAGATACAAAATACACATAAGTCCTTTTACCAGTTCGTAGAGATGCAAAAACTCATCAAGTAATATAGTGAATTCAACATTTTTTAACAAACTCCACTTAGTGAGAATTATCTGTCAAAAGCGGTTGGTTTTCTAACCTTAAAAATATTGTTTACTCAGATTGTTTAACAGATAAATCTGACTTAGTGAGATATATCTGTCAAAAGCGGCTGGTTTTCTAACCTTAAAAATATTGTTTAATTTGAATTTTACGCTAATAACATTCGAAGTGCATAGTTTGACGAAATTTTATTATTTTACTGGTGATATAATTGTATAACAAGGTGATATAAGAGTGTCAGAACCATGGACGTATAGACAAAGATTTATCTTTATTTATACGTCTATGGTCAGAACAATTATTGATCTAAAACACTTCAGTTAGCAGTGACTACCGAGTAATTAATAAGTAAGTAGCCAATGCATACATACCTACTATTTGGTTGGTATTTTTTCTTTATGATAAAAAATTTAAAAAATATAATTTTAAGTCAATATGACAACTCTTGACAGGTTACGATATTGTTATTGTTTTGTTATTTTAGGTATCGAGTCTGTAGTAAAACCTACTCCCAAATTTGTAGAAACAAAGGGGTATACTGTAGATAAAGACAATGGCGTTCTCGTTGAAGTCACCAACTATGCCGTTGACAAGACTGTAAATTCTATTTCTAATAGAACTGTTCTCGTACCATATTCTTCTTCTGATCAAGATAGTGAAATTGAAGATACCGGTCTAGCCACTTTATATTATCCGATTAGAATAAAAATATCCAACGAAGTACCGGTAAATGATGAAAAACATTTAACTAGAGGGAGAAAAAGTGACCCACAGAAATGAAATAGAAGTCGAACTAAAGAATAAAATAGTAAATGTCAAGTATACGCACCAATCAGAGGGATAATAAGACCTCCAAAAGCACCCCAGCGTAGTTCTTGCGAAAATTCGCACATGTTTAAATGTAATATTAAATTTGACGAAGAAGAAGGGAAAAATATGCAAGGAATATTGGAGTCTTAAACTTTTTGAGCAAAAAAAGTTGAAACAGTAAAATGAGAGGTAATGCCAAAATATATCATTTATTTTTAAGGGAAACGAAAAACTTACGAGTGTGTCAAACATTTTTCATGAAAACCCTAAATATTAATAATGGTCTGATAATTACGGCATTGAAAAACAGTTTATTCTCTTGGTGTATTTGAAGGAGAAGACAATATAGGAAAATACTATCTGCAAACAGAACTCCCGATGTTAACCTTGCAAGAGTTAAGGATCACATTGAAAGTTTTCCTACAATGGAAAGCCATTACTGTCGCAAGTCAACTAACAGACTGTACGTAAACTAAAGACTAAGCGTTTCCAAAATATATGAACTTTATTCTTTATTCTGCAATGAAAATGGTTTCAAGGCAGTTACCATACATGTCTATAGAAACATTTTTGGTACAAAGTATAAACTTTCTTTTTTTAACCAGAAAAAACGTGTGTGTCAGATGTAGAAAAGCGTCGTGATTTAGAAGAAGATTATAGGAATTATTTCATGTAAAATAATGGTGCCGCCAAGGCTAATAAAATCGACAGATCAAGATCTCAGAATGATCCATCTTTTCTTTCTGCAACATTCGACTTGCAGTCAGTTTTGAAAATACCATCTTCCGATGTGTCGTCTATGTATTATACAAGGAAAGTGAACATGCACAATTTAATAAATCGTGAAACTCCACAACCTCCCAAAACATACTGTTTTGCTTAAAGTGAACTAAATGAAAAACAAGGCAACTCTGAAATTGGTACGTGTTTATATAAATGGTTTAAAACATTACAACCCGAAGTAAAGACATCACGGTTTTCTCTGACACATGTGGAGGTCAGAATAGAAACCAGAATATTGTTGCTCGTTTTTTTTACCTTGTTCAAGTAACCTCAATCGACATAACTGAACATAAATATTTAGGAAAGTGGCAACTCATACATGGAAGTTGACCCAATGCATAGTGCCATTGAAAAAAAAATCAATCTGTATACATTGTGAACTCATTTAGTATTTTTAAAAGAACAAGATATAAGCGCAATAGAAATAAAAATTCTGGACCTTATATTACCAAAGAACTTAAATTTAATGAGTTCCTGCACTTGAAGGATCTCTCTAGACATTTGATGAAAAATAAGTTATGGGATTTTGACAAACAAAAGTAAGTTGGCTGAAGGTAGCTCAAGATCCAATTCAACTCTCATGATCAGCACAGATATACATAAAACTGTTTGCGATAAATGCAATGAAATATATCTAATCTTTACCTTTGTTGTTTGGTATAGTTCTAAAAATGAGTAAGCATTTCCTGAAACACCATGACATAGACTATAGCCTTTCCTTAGTAAACCTCTCTGCCATATAATTTCACCACATTCTAATGCTGCTTGTAAATATCGAGTATCTTGAAAAATCTAAAAAATATAAAACTGTATTGTTTCTTAATTAAAATTATAAAACCAATACCTAAAAACAATTGTTAATTACCTTGTATGCAGTTGTCAATAAATATACAAATCCTGGGGAACCATGACACCATTGAACAAATTTATCAGAATCTCTTCCTATAGAAGATGGAAAGTTGCCACTTGAAAACCTGAAAAAGATTATTCATTGTTAAAACTGCACTTTTTATCGCTTTTTTAAGATTAGAATGTGTTGACTCCACTGTCGATGATAGACTAGCAATTTTCACCTAATAGGAAATACGAGGGTGAATTGATATAAAACTAGCCTTTAATAGAAAAAAAGTTTTTTGGAATTAAATCGATTTATTTCTCAAAATAGTCCCCTTTTAGCTCGATACACTTAGTAAGTCGATGTTCCAATTTTTTATCCCATCCGAATAGTACTTTTGCTCGAGCTCTTCAAAATAGGCCGAAGTTTCAGCGACGACTTCATCATTTGTTGCGAAACGGCGTTCTCCGAGTCATATTTTAGGTTTGGAAATAAAAAAAAAAACATTGTCTTGGTGAATGAGCACTTTTTTGCGTTCCAAACCGGGGCGTTTTCAACACAATTCGGTATCGAATCGATCCAATAATGCTGCGTAGTACTCACGATTAATTGTTTTTTCTTTTTCCAAGTAGTCGATGTGGATGAAACATCCCAGAAAACAGTCGCTATCACTTTCCTGGCCGAATGTGCACTCTTTGCCTTCTTCGGCGGCCCTTCGCCGCGTTGGCGCCACTGTTTCGACTGTTCTTTGATTTCCGGTGTGTAATAATACACCCAGGTTTCATCAACGGTGTTAAATCGGCGAAAAAAATCCTTCGAATCGCGCCGTATCATCGCCAAAAGCGTCTCCGAAGTGGTCACACGTTTTTCCATTTGATTGATTGTCAGCAAACGCGGCACCCATCGCGCGGATAGCGTTTTCATGTCCAAATGATGGTGAATGATGTTGTGTACACGTTCTTAGGAAATGTTTAGAACCTCTCGGAGCTCGCGGAGCATAATTTGACGATCTGCCATAATCATGTCATGGACTATGTGGATCATTTCCAGCGTGGTGAGTTCATTTGGCCTCCCGGGACGCTCAACATCAAAAACACTCGTACGACCACGAACAAATTCAGCTTTCCAAAATTTTACTCTTGCTAATGAAGGTGCAACCTCACCATAAACCTCGTCTAGGTCGGCTTATTCGTTATACATTGCACATTCGTTTTACCCTTTTTGTGGAGGAACTTAATCACCGAACGATACTCGACTTTTTCCATTTCTTCGAAAACACAAAATTTGCTTGTTTTTGGCGGCTGTAAAAACCAAACTACCAAATTGTTTTTAAAACTTATAACTTTGATAGATGTCATGGCATGAATGGCAAATGTCAACGCCGAAACCAATTCGGTATTCCGAATCAAACCAAACGATCTAAAAACTCTAAAATAGTTTAAGATGAAACCAATTATAAAAAAAATAATTATTTATTAAACAAACTAGTAAAATGCATTGCCTTAATGTTTAAACTAGACACGCATGCCAAATATATACAAAACTAAAGAAACACAAACAAATTTAACACAAAACTTTTAAGATATGTTTAGACAACTACAGGATGGGATCTATCAAGGAAACGCTGATTAAAGTATACATTCTCACGGATTCGTGTCCGGGCAAACTAAAAATATTACAAACAGCTAACATTCTTTATCCGTTTTAACATCTACCATTACAAGAAAGTCTTTCTTTAAGTGGAGGAAAGGGTTTTAGAAAAATACGAAAAAAGACAATTGTAGCAAATCAACTGCAACGAACACAAATTTCCGCTATACCACTTACAAGAGCGAAATTAAACATAATACTAAAACCAGATAAGTCTTAGGAAGAATCCATCTTCCTTACATTCTAAAACGACTGGAAATAATTCAAAATATTTCCCTAAGACTCTATTTGGATGCAATGTGTTCAACGCCTATGGCACCACTTCGGATTGAAGCACTAGAACCACCATTATTTTTAGGGAGGGAATGGTTGGCAGAAATATTTATTATTAAAACACAATGACGGTATTTATTTTTAAGGTATTAATTTAATTTATTATTAAGTCTTTTTTTAAAACCGTACTCTGTTAGATAAAATAGCCTTATTAAATAACCACAATTTAACTAACAAGTACTGGTCAAAAAAACCTCCTCCATTATGTATGGCTTTTAGAAATACAATATTAGGCTTCCATACTAGCCGAGAAGGTCATCGACTCTTCGCCGGTGTTCTAGTCTAACGGTATTGGGTATACAACGGAACTTTCTTTGTGTGGAGTTAGTCGGAAGATAAGATCGCGGCGAGTTTTAAATGTAACCCTCGTATTACAAATAAATTATATAATTATTAGTCAAAAATAAATTGTTGTATAAGTGTTTTAATAAATTGATGTAAATTATTGTGTTTTAGTGAATTAGAATAAGAGAAATAAAGTTAATAAATTAGAATTAATAAAAACTCAACAATAGTAATTTAAAAAGAACTATTTCAGTCGAAAAATCTGAATTCTTTGACATGTTGGAACCACTAGAAATTAATATTCCTGTATACAATGAAAATTTGTAGATAAGTAAAAATATAATAAGCGACTGCATATCAAATCTGTCAGATTTTCTCTAAATATATACCGATACATCAAAATAATGGTACGGGATGTGCATTCTATATACCATCAATAAACGTTCAAGAAAAATTCAAACTGAATAATAATACTTCCATTTTTTCTGCAGAAGCAATTGGTATTATTAAAGTCTGCCATTATGTCGAAAAAAAAACAAGTTAAAAAAAATACATTTTTTGAGTGACTCCTTATCTGTTCTTAAATGCATCACTAATCCAATTAATGCCATGGCTACTGATACAAATCCTTTTATTAGAGAATTAAAAGTAAGAATTCATAAACTAAAAAAAGTCAATACGAATTAAAATTCACTTGGGTAAAAGCTCATATAGAACTTTGTATGCATATTTGGTTAGGTAAATGGATCTAGTAATCCGCAGTCATATTTCCAATCACACACACATGTTAATACAAAATACAAATACAAATTAACAATACAAATACAATTTATTCATCATGAAACCTGCAAACAAGCGGAAAGCCTTCTGTAAGCCTGTCAGACAAATAAATTATAAACATAAATAAACATTAAATTATATTTCATACTAAAGTATCAAAAAAAAACTGTCAAAATCATTTAATAAAATACACTAAATTACACGTATTTAAAATTCAAGAAACCCAAAATAATTACGTAGTAAAACATTTCGGTATAACGAATAACGGTATAACATTTCACTCCAATATAACTAGGGGCACGCTATACCACTTCCAAACATGAGAAGGTATTATGTATATTAATATTATTTTAATATTATTTTTTCGGGTATTATAAGAATCTACATCACTATTTTTATTTAGTGTATGCTCATTTCCTGTAACATACATTATCAGTGAAGTATGTACAGAAAAGGCAGGGCTAATATGTTTGCCTTTATCAAAAGTGGTCTGCAAGATTCTGCTGGTGACACATTATGCACATGGCTCGTATTACCTTCTTTTAAGCTATGAATGCTCCATCCAAGTATGCAGAAGAACTCAAGAAAATTAACCGATATTGAATGGTTGACTGCCCTAAACCAAAGTACATATAAGAGTTTCAGAACATCCAATGATACATTCGTATCTCAGTTACATGTCCAATAAGCTTTAAGTCCAATATGCAGGCCAATTAATATAAGAGTTTCAGAACATCCAATGATACATTCGTATCTCAGTTACATGTCCAATAAGCTTTAAGTCCAATATGCAGGCCAATTAATGTATGACATACTTCATGATATTTCAGAATATTAGGAATGTATCGATCTATAATTAAAGTTCCCACATGATAATTGATCCTCTCCCGAAATAAACTGTAGGAGCAAAATAAAACTGTTTATTTTGTTCTCTTGGACCCCGATATATTTCCCCCCCATCAATTTAGTTTACGCAGAAATGGCTCCCCTTCATAAACAAAACCCACTTGAATCATTCATGATTTCAATTTTGATGCTCTCTATAGAAAATTAGTGTTGCTAAATAGTTAACGATGTGATACATAACGATTAACAGAGCATTAAAGCAAAGTTTTCAGCGCGCATAAGGACGATATAGAGCGACTTCTCAAAGAGATGCCGCCTCGAAATTTATTCCACCTCAAAATTCTGATAAACAGAACTACCAACTATAGTGTAAATGATTTACTTTACTGATTATGCTGGGCCCCTCTGACTGCGGAAGATGCCTTGATAAAATGAGAATTACAACTTTAGACTGGCCCCTACGCAGCCCAGAGATGAATCCAACTGAACATATCTGGGACATGCTAAAACAGTGTATTCATAATTGGTGAATGTAATTAATAAAAAACAAAAAATTTTTGTGTAACAGTAATGTTCATTCTCAAAACAATCGAAATAAGGGAGAGTTTGTAGTACCTTATTTTCATTAAGAAATAAGTATGAAGTCATCTACTGTTTTTGGTTTAAAACAATGCACAAAACAGCATGTAATAGATTTAAAAAAAATTAAAGTGTTAATTCAACTGTAGTGTTTATAAATCGAAGAGTACCTAATGTCTGTATATCCCTCTTCAATATAGAAGAGTTTTACGAGAATGTAGCTGTAAATGCCCATACAATAATGTCGTAATGAAAATTATTGTACAAACTTATTATAATAGTTATTCTGATTTTAGATTAGTACTTATATTTATATACACATGATTTTACATTTCACTTACAGTAATCATTGCATTTAATGTCCGACATTGACTATTATATAATTATTATACATCGTTTTGTACCAGCAATTTTAGTTCTGTAAGTCATGAACTTTCATTCAACCATAGCGTTACTGCAACTAAATACAACATGAATAAAATAAAGTATGGATCAACTGAATAAGATTTAAGTTCTTTACCTCTGAGTCAGTAAATAATCAATGGTAGGTTTGATCACATTATTTAAGTCGTCCTCAGAAAGATATGCTCTTGCTTGCAGCAAAAGATATAAAATACCAGCAAGTCCATGTGCAGCTCCCATGTAGTAACTGTCGTGCCAGTCGTACATTATAGGACACTTAAATCTACCTGCTTTGGAGATGTTACGACCAATCACTAAAATGGTCTCTATTATCTGTAAAAAAAAATATGTCGTAATATGTAAGTTTTACGAAATAAATAAATACTAATCTCGATAAAGATTCGTAGTAGATTGTAATAGCATCGGCAGTAGTAACGTGGATGAGATTGGCACAGGACATAGAAATATGGAAGCAGTTTGGAGATAACTACATTCAGGAGTGGATGAATAAGTTTGACGAAGAGAGAGAGTGAGAGAGATAGAGAGAGAAAGAGAGAGAGGGAGCGAGAGAGAGTCAAACATGACCCACATAACAAAAAAAATGACGTATTTCGTTATCGTTATGCAATATAATAATGCCTACTGTGCTAAACTAGAGAATTCCATTTTGTAAGAAGCATTACTATCTGAATGTGAAGAAATAATAATTAACGGAAGAACTATTAACAACATAAGATATGCCGATGACACCGTGATTATGGAAAGCTCTGCTAAACAACTACAACTACTACCGAACAAGACAAACAGTTGTGAAAAATATGGACTAACAATGAATATTAAAAAGACCAAACCCGTAACGATAGCAAGGGTTGAAAATACAAATACCTGGAAAACTGGATTTCCAAAAATAATGTTCAAGCAACAAAAATAAGGGTCATAATAGAAATCGAAAGCAATGCGTTTGTAAAAATGAAAATAATGCTCTGAAGACCTTAGATTAGAACTGAGATTAAGAGTTTTGAGATGTTACGTGTTTTCGATACTACAGTATGGACTTGGAAAGCTGGACACTGAGGGAAGAACACATAAAGAAGCTAAGAAATATAAAATTTCTTAAGTGAGGTGATATGGCAAATTTACTTACCTGACTAATATAGTTATCATCAAAAGGAGGAGGGGAAATGTATTTGTTGACATAAAGTATTGCATATAGATATCCAATTCTACCGTACATATATTCATTGGCTATGTCGGAATGAAGATCCAACACATCTTTATTTAGCAAAGTTAATCTAAAACATCAAATAAATTTATTTCTTAAGAACTCGAATTAAAAATATATGAACAGTGTCATAATCTTTAATTACTAAACTAAATATCTAAGAAGTAAACTTAGAACATATACAGAGACGCTCACACTCAGATAAGCTGAGAAGGATATCTAACTGGACCTCACTATGGACCAGGTGTAGAGGAAGACCATGAAGAAGATGGCTGGATGATGTAGAAGAAAATATAAGAACAATGAATGTTAAAGACTGTAAAGTTCAGTACAAGGACAGGAAGAAATGGAAAAGTGTTACTACAGCAGCAAACACACCTCCTCCTCATTCCCTGCGCCTTGTCTGCGCGTAGTGACACTCTAAATATTATTAATTACTATTTAACTGGGAATAAGCCACAATTAATGGTTAATATTCGTCTATTGACGTTTCAATTTCCACTTCGGAAAGTGAATGGATTTCCAAAGTGGAAATTGAAACATCAATAGACGTATTTTAACCTTTAATTGTGGCTTATTCCCAGTTAAATAGCAATTAATTTAAAATGCCACAAGAAAATAGCTTCAGAACAATACTAAATATTATTAGCTTGCTGTCTCCATTGGCTGCGATCCGATGCCACATGGACGGTTCCACGTAGGAATTTTCTCACCAAAGTCTTTATTTGGTCTGCTCATCTTGTCGGAGGTCTTCGTCCTTCTACCTTTTCTTCTACTACCAACAGTTCCATGGTCCCCGTTCTTCTAGCTATGTGGTCTGAAGCTCTTCCAAAATTGACAGATTGGTTTTATGTTATATCCAGGACACGCGTAGAATTCTTCTATTTAGCAAAGACACACAGCAAACTATAAATGAGATAGAGTAATAATCCACCTCACCCAAGAATAGAATTTTGAATGCCATAACGTTAGCTATAATCCCTGGGGATTATAACACCAATAAAATTAACGCTTAGAACACTAATACACTATGTAACACGAAGACACCGTTGCTCAGTCCTATTACATTATGGGGAGTCGTTTATAGAGGCGAGAAACACAGTAATATAGCCATGAGACAACAAAAAGAACAAACAATAAAATAATTCTTTAAACAAAAAGAACAACACTGTTTTAAACTATTTCAATCCCAAAAAACAAATAAGATATTCATAAAACAAAGAGAAAGACTGATATGGATATCAAAAAGGAATGAAAATATTACCGAAATACAAATATAAAAATAAAAACATGGTAGGATTCATTATATCAAAAATATATTAAAATATCAAGTATCATAAATTATATATGTAACGGGTAAATCCCGAAATTGGGTAAGACTAGTTTTCCCCAGATACTTTGCGTATTATCCAAATTGACTAGATAAAAGACAAAGAATATTGATAACTTCTTGATTTATCGCTCATTCTAGATATATCCAATGTCACATTAATGGATAGATCAGTACATTTTAATATATATATATATATATATATATATATATATATATATATATATATATATATATATATATATATATAATGGGGTGGTGACTCGTCAAATGGGCCATAGGAAACTCAATGGGAAATTTTAAATTGTTGAATTGGTGCTTCCCTAATTATTTTAGATCAAAAGTCATAAAAAACTATTTGTAGAGAAATAAATTCTAAATTAAAAACAAATGTTAAAACTGTTCTACGAATCAAATGCACTTCAAAATTTTGCAAAAATATAATAGATTTTTCAGACCACCCCTAAAAGTTAGGCCACACGTAATACAAGAATATATTCTAACGTGTGTTTTATCATATTGATGTCAGATGTTTGACAATTTGAATTGTTAATTTTTTTTATTTTATGATTAAATTATAAACAATGAATTTTACTAAATACTACCACTACTGAACAATATTACTTTGTGAACAATAAATTATATTGTTTACAAATCGATCAATATAATGAAATGTACTCAGTTGACGAAAAATCGCATAATGTTGTATTCAGACAATAGCGCGAACCTTTTCCTGTCACTACCGGATCTTTATTTAACGTAAGATATTCTAATACACTAAAATTTAATTCCATGTTAAGTTAAGTTATACAACAATTGAATGAATTCCAATATACTGTTACTGTGATCTTTATTCCTAATAATAATATACGACAATTTCTAAACATAAAACTATGACAAATGTTATAATAAAACATGAATAAAACATTTTTATTATTGCTCTTTTCTCCTTAACTGAGTACATTTTTTAATCAACTTAATTTTTCTTTTAAATAATAAATCACAAAATTTTGGCCATTTAAATCATAGATAAATATAATATAGTTGATTTAAATAATATTATACATATAGTATATTATTTAAATATTAAATATTGTCAAATATTAGAAACGTCAATATGACAAAACGCAACACGTAATACACATTCTTTTCACGGCGTCTGGCCTGACTTTTAGTGGTGGCCTGAAAAATGTATTATATTTTAGCAAAATTTTGGAATACGTTTGAGTCGTAGAACAATTTTAACAATTGATACATATTTGAGTCCTCTACAAATAGTTTCTCATAACTTTTGGAGTAAAATAATTAGGGAAGCAGGAATTCAACAATTTAGAATTTCTCATTGAGTTTCTATGGCCCGTTTGACGATTCATCACCCTGTATATATATATATATATATATATATATATATATATATAATATATATATATATATATATACCGGGTGGTGAATCGCCAAACGGGCCATTGGAAACTCAATTTGAAATTCTAAATTGTTGAATTCCTGCTTCCCTAATTTTTTACGTCAAAAGTTATCAGAAACTTTTTATAGAGGAGTGAAATCTGCATTAAAAACAACTGTTAAAATTGTTCTACGAATTAAGCGTACTCCAAAATTTTGCAAAAATATAATATATTTTTCAGGCCAGACGCGGTACAAGAATGTGTATGACATGTTGCGTTTGATCATATTGATGTTTCTGATATTTGAATTTTGAATTGTCAATATTTTATGATTTTATTTTATGATTAAATTATAGCATCGAGTTAGAATCTATGGAGAGGGCATCACGAGACTAAAAACGACCTAACTTCGGCCATATTGGTATTATTGTTTTGAAACTTTTGACAGATCGTATATGTTTGGTTATATTTGTTGTTTTTCGAATATTTTCAGTTTTATAATACTTTTATAGAAACTAATATATTGTGATAGTGCATAATAATGGTTTCTTGTTCTCAACGTAGTTGCAGTAGCAGAAGTAATGTTAATAAAAAATCGTCAGGAATATCGTTCCACAGGTTAGTATACAAATATGTAAACAAAGTAATGGTCCGTACTTCAGAGAATAAATTAATAGTATTTAACTGTATTAATTTACCTTGACGTATAATATATCGTGTTTTTAGTGTTTACCGCGGGATAAATAAATCATAGTTTATTAAGAATGTATTGCACTTTTTTAGATTATAATTAAATCTTCTGAATAACTAGTCATATTTGTATAGTAGTTTTATTATTATTGAGTCTGGCCCCGATGTCACCGCCATATTGGTATTATCGTTAGCCACTCCTACCTATGCCGTTTTTAATACATACGTTAATATGCTCATAGCTTCTCCATAGATTCTAACTCGATGAATAATAGGCAACAAATTTTCGCAAATAGCACAACTACTAGTTAACAATAAATAGTATTTTGTAAGCAATAAATTATATTGTTTACAAAGCAATAATGTTGCTTATATAGGCAATAGTACGAGCACTGCCAGATATTTATTTAATGTAAGATATTATAATACACTCCAATTCAATTTCAGGTTATACAACCACTCAAAGAATTTCAATATAGTTTTACTGTGATCCTTCCTAAAAATAATTTATGATAATTTCTAAACGTAAAACTATAACAAAGTTCTCATAAGTACGTTCAAATAATAAGCCATTTTGTACTAAGCAGTATCCCAATCGATTGTAAAATTCTCGTCTAACATTAGCCAGAACACGTGGCGTTATTTTTGCACACTCTTCAATAATTCGCATTTTTAATTTCAATGCTTCTATATCTGTAAATTTATGGTCAGAATTAATTTTTGATTTTAGATGCCCCCAGATAAAATAATCCATAATAAAAAAGGTTAATAATGTTATCCCTTTTCCAACCCGCTGAAATGCGGTTTGTTTCCCACACCTCTCGGATTATGGGGAGCAAAAGTTCAGCAGTTAGATGCGGATTAGTTTTAAGTATTTCAGCAGCAATGTTATCGATTCCCGGAGACTTGTTATTTCTCAGAGATTTAATAACTGTTATTATCTCCGCTTTGGAAGGGGCCTCGCAAGATATACGAAAGTCTACATTCTGCGGGTTTTCGACAATTTCATCTGCGTTTTTCCTGGGCGTGCCTAGCATCTCCTGAAAATGTTCTTTTCATCTCTCTACTTGACCATTTGTTGTAGTAAGTAATTCGCATGTCTTGGATCTTACAATGTTTGAACAGTTAAGCCCATTTTTTGTTAGTCATCTAGTAATTTGGTATAGCTCTCTAGTTCTGTTGTGTTGTGCAGCTGTTTAAGCTTGTTTTGCCAGGTCTTCAGCCCACTTTCTTCTATTCTTGTTGTCGGTTCGCTCTTTCTTCTAAAGTTCTTGCTTGCAAAATATCTTTCTTTTGCTGTTTTCTTTCCTCGATAAGATTCCAAGTTTCATCTGACACACATTCTTTTCTATGTTTCCCTTTTTTACCCAGTTTATCTTTAGCTATTTCTGACAAAACACATCTACCAAATCTTCCCAGCTATTTACTTCACGTTCTCTTGTTTTGAGTTCCTCTCTAAACATGTGACGTCCTGAAGCCGTTTTTAATTTGTCTAGATTGTATGTTCGTCTGTTGGTGTTTCGCGTGATTTTGTTTTTTGCCATCTTGATTTTAACGGTACCAATTACGAGATGATGGTCACTTGCGATGTCTGCTCTTCTTTAATTACGTACATCAAGAACAAATGACCACCATCTTTTTGATATGGCGATGTGGTCTATTTGATTTTCCTCTTATATGACCTGGTGCAGTCCTTGTAACCTTGTGGATATTTTTATGTGAGAAGATGGTTCCACCAATAACTAAGCTATGATTGGAACAAAAATTTGTAAAACGCTCTCCGTTTTAATTCATCACTCCCAGGCCGTGTTTGCCCATTACGGTTTCTAAGTTAATACTGTCTGCTCCAACTTTAGCGTTCATATCGCCAATCACTATTAGTATACCGCTTTGGTTTACTTGTTGGGTTGTTTTAGTTGTTCGTGAAAAATGTCACTGAAGCATAGCACTGAATCACTGTTATCTTGAGGTATCTGGTATAAAATCTGGCAGTCATAATTCTATCATTAATGGGTTTAATGAAATAAGGTTTTTTTGGCTTGTTTGCTGAGTAGAAGACCCATTCCGCTCTCGGGACTTCCGTTTTCTTTGCCAATGTATATTAAGAGTTCTCCTGTCTGGATATGGTTTCACCTTTAACCAACCATCTTACTTCCGATAGACCAACAAAGCTTAATTTATACCTATTTAATTATTTTACTGATTGAGCTATTTCAGAAATCCCATATAGAGTTTTGACATTCCAGCATTTTTGTACATTGCCCCAAAGATATAACTAAGCATTGAGAACTTGCTGTAACTAACAACAACAAAAAAACATATTTATTATTACTCCAAATTAGAAAACATTATTGATTTGAATAGCATAATATAGTATAAACCGGATAAATCCAGAATACAACGAAATATTTACAAAAATGTAGCTTTATCCACTATGCTTGGATAATTCTAATTCTAGTGTAAAAGAAGAAAACATGAAAACAATGTTAACTACCGTAAGTTCTCTCTGCAACAAAACACAAAATTTATTGCTTAGAAAATCTTCAACATGTTTAAAATAGAAACTGCGCAAAAATATTATCTTAAATAATAAAAATAATGAAAGATTTGATTTGAAATGTCTACGAATTTTATTCTATTACTGCAAAAAATCCTCCTACGATATGTTACAAAAGTAACCAAAATGTTTTAAGCGTTCTTTAAACTATTTTATTTTCTTTAGTATATACTAAGTTAGGTTGCGTAGTAATTAAATTATGAGTGTATGAATGACTAAACATCCGAAAGAAGGAAGGCATCCAAGGCCTGCACTAATTACGTTTTTTTTTTCGGCGGCTCGTTATTTAATGAAACACCTAAATAGTCATATGCATAAAGAGTAGGTAATTATAATTATAATAGGATTAAAAAAGAATTTCAAAAAATGTTTGGAGTAAAAGAAAAATTACTTTGATATTAGTTGTGAAACTTCATCACGATTTCCCAATTTGCTGTGTACCACTATTCCTAGCGCAAGTGGTCCTGCATCACCGCATAGGAAAGTGTGCCTTCTTCCTTTCAGTTTGTGAAGCGAAAGCAGTTTTATAACCTCCTAGAAATAAAAAAATATTCATTCATCCTGAACACATTTTTTAAATAAAATATACTAATATACATAGAAGTAGAACCGTCAAAGGTATTGAAAACGGTATCGGTAAGATGTTTTATTTCATATCATTCAGTTGTTTGTTTCAAGTTATTTTAATTCAATCCGTATTAAACACTCGAGCTGTATCTCAGCTTGATAAATCTAGAGTATAGAATCCTTGAGTTTTCAAATGTAATAGTGTCAAGTTCATTCATCTCTTGGGCCAAGAAAATGACTTTGAAGCCAGTAGGTCTAAGTCAGCAAAATAGTACATAACTCCAAATCAGATAGAGAGGAAGTTTTCAAGAATAGTCTTGATTTAAATATTATTTTTTATGGGATTAAACCCCAATTTATTGTAATGAGAATTACATTTTACATTTGTTTTGACGTTTCGATTTCCGTGCCGTAATGGTGCAGCCAACTTTAAATTTCTTAGGACTTATTAAACACATCTTTATCGTTTACAGTGTAAAGTTGCCTTTTTCATTATAGGGGGTGCTGTCAAAATTGGCATAACAATGGCATTCTAAATTTGTGCCACAAAATTTATTAATAAAAAAATCTGCAAAAACATAAAATCTATAGTTCTTCTCCAAACATCTACAAAATGAAACATGCTAGGTATATATAACCTGATATTCAAAGAAAGGTTACTAAGAATACTAATTAAATTAACTAAAATCTGTTAAAAAAATGAGAAAATGTTGTATGTGAAAATAGTGATCACATTGTATATTGTATGGCTAGATGTCAAAGATATTAAATTATTTAAAAATGTCACTACACTAGAAAAACTTTGACATATCATTTAAAATTTTATTACCTTTATTCATGCCAAAAATGATTTAATATTATACAGGATGTTCCAATAAAAAAACAACTTTGATTTATTCCGTTGTTCTGACTGACTCAAATTATAGATTTATTTAATACACATCATTTTTAATTACTATTTAACTGGGAATAAGTCACAATTAAAAATAAAAATACGTTTATTGACGTTTCAACTTCCACCTCGGAAATCGTTCTCAAAATACAAACAGTAAATTAAACAAATTTTGTTTTTTGTTACATAGTGAAAAATTCTTCTAATAATTTAATTTTATCTGACTCATTTATATTGACAATTCAGACATACATTATGCATTTTAAAGTAGACGACTTTAAAATGATATTGCCAATATTATTGAGTTCCGCCCCTGGGACGACTTTACTATAAAATAGTTCATTCAATTACATGAAATGAACTTTAACTTGAGAATATCCGTCAGAAAAAATCATAGCATGTAATTCGTCTTTAAAAAGACAAACACATGACATGATGACAGTAAAATTCTCCTGTTAGTGATTCCATAGTAAATTATGAGGGAAAAACCAGGAAAAAAACCTCATAATACTATCCCGACATATTTGTTCGTGAATTTAGTTTACCTTCAACAAACATCAAAATTCTGATTTTATATCGTTATTTAAAAAACATAAATGATGTATCCTCTATATGTTACTAACTTACTAATACTGGTATTTTCTTATTAATAACATCCTCTTTCAATATTGGTAACCAGATTCTACTACATTCTGCCGAGGAATTTGCGACACAATTGGCCTCATTTAGCATAATTAGAGCCGCTTCTTTGATTTTTCTTTTTTTACCATCCGTTTCTTTTAGGACTACATTTGAATTATTCCATTGAACCCTATGTTCATTATCCCATGCGTGTTTACATATTTGAGATCTATCAAATTCTCTATTTTTAATATAAGATTGATGTTCACTTATTCCAATATTTAATGGACTTGATGATTCACCTAAATACAACTGATCTCATTCACAAGGTATTTTATAAATGCAATTCTTTGTCCTTTCTTGTTCATTGTTAGGATAGGATATAAATTCAACATTTCAACAACATTCAAAACAACAAACACGTTGAGATCTATTTTGTCCAAAACCAAACAGCATAATACTATCCCGACATTGTAAGTATTTGTTAGTGAATTTAGTTTACCTTCAACAAACATCAAAATTCTGATTTTATATCGTTATTTAAAAAACATAAATGATGTATCCTCTATATGTTACTAACTTACTAATACTGGTATTTTCTTATTAATAACATCCTCTTTCAATATTGGTAACCAGATTCTACTACATTCTGCCGAGGAATTTGCGACTCAATTGGCCTCATTTAGCATAATTAGAGCCGCTTCTTTGATTTTTCTTTTTTTACCATCCGTTTCTTTTAGGACTACATTTGAATTATTCCATTGAAACCTATGTTCATTATCCCATGCGTGTTTACATATTTGAGATCTATCAAATTCTCTATTTTTAATATAAGATTGATGTTCACTTGTTCTAACATTTAATGGCCTTGATGATTCACCTAAATAAAACTGATCGCATTCACAAGGTATTTTGTAAATGCAATTCTTTGTCCTTTCTTGTTCATTGTTAGGATAGGATATAAATTCAACATTTCAACAACATTCAAAACAACAAACACGTTGAGATCTATTTGGTCCAAAACCAAACCTAACAATGAACAAGAAAGGCAAAGAATTGCATTTATAAAATACCTTGTGAATGCGATCAGTTTTATTTAGGTGAATCATCAAGGCCATTAAATGTTAGAATAAGTGAACATCAATCTTATATTAAAAATAGAGAATTTGATAGATCTCAAATATGTAAACACGCATAGGACAATGAACATAGGGTTCAATGGAATAATGCAAATGTAGTCCTAAAAGAAACGGATGGTAAAAAAAGAAAAATCAAAGAAGCGGTTCTAATTATGCTAAATGAGGCCAATTGTGTCGCAAATTCCTCGGCAGAATGTAGTAGGATCTGGTTACCAATATTAAAAGAGGAAGTTATTAATAAGAAAATACCAGTATTAGTAAGTCAGTAACATATAGAGGATACATCATTTATGTTTTTTAAATAACGTAACATATAAAATCAGAATTTTGATGTTTGTTGAAGGTAAACTAAATTCACGAACAAATACTTACAATGTCGGGATAGTATTATGAGGTTTTTTTCCTGGTTTTTCCCTCATAATTTACTATGGAATCACTAACAGGAGAATTTTACTGTCATCATATCATGTGTTTGTCTTTTTAAAGACGAATTACATGCTATGATTTTTTTCTGACGGATATTCTCAAGTTAAAGTTGATTGCATGTAATCGAATGAACTATCTTATAGTAAAGTCGTCCCAGGAGCGCAACTCAATAATATTGGCAATATCATTTTAAAGTCGTCTACTTTAAAATACATAATGTATGTCTGAATTGTCAATATAAATGAGTCAGATAAAATTAAATTATTGGAAGAATTTTTCACTATGTAACAAAAAACAAAATTTGTTTAATTTACTGTTTGTATTTTGAGAACGATTTCCGAGGTGGAAGTTGAAACGTCAATAAACGTATTTTTATCTTTAATTGTGGCTTATTCCCAGTTAAATAGTAATTAATTTACAATGCCACAAGAAAATAGCTTCAGAACAACACATCATTTTTGTTACTAACATGTTTATATACTCCATAGTTTAGCCGTAACAAAAGAAAACGAGAGGTTTGGCGCATCCTGTACATACGAGGCGGACCCTGAAAGTTTTGCACAGAACCATTTAGCACTCAACTTCATAAATATGATTTTTGTATAGTTTAACATTTCTTATGTCCCGGAAAACATTGACGCTGAGTGGGGCATGATAGGAGCAGATGTTACCTAACATGAGATTCATGTATTTGATTCGTGCACTGGCATGAATTAAATACAAACAATTTTGCTTGACTATTAGGCAGTGAGAAAGATAAGCAGTCGTTGGACTCATCATATTTTGAATGCTGTCCATAAGTGACGTATGGATTGGTGCCGTGCCACTCAAAAGATTCAACGGAGGCAACAAAAATTTGGTATGGAACGTTGTGACTAATTATGATATTACATTAAGATATAAGATATATATCTTAATGCAATATCATCATAAGTCAAAGTCAAAAAAAGGAGTCCCGCTCACAGCTTTGGCAAATAAATGGGAACTAGTTTTTTATTTTAGAAAAATTTACATATTTCCTATATTTCGGAGAATGATAGAACCGTTAATGCTGAAAGGTATACAACCATTCGCAAAAACTTCGCAAAAACATACGAAATCGTCACATCTTCTTGCATCAGGTCAACATCAGCTCTCACACAGCTCGTATAACATTCTAGTATTTGAAGGCGATAACCTTCGATTTGGTGGGCTGTTCTGCTTACGTGTCACTGACATGATGAGACGATCGACGCATACAAAAAAGTCTTCTAAAATACCTTTTTCAAACTGGCATAAATACTTCGACGCGACGATTGGTCTGTTCGAATGCAAAATGTATCGATCTTAAATATGAATACTTTGAAAAACAATAAAGCCGATTTTTCCTAAAAAAATTTTTTTTGTACAAAACTTTAAGTGTACGCCTCTTATGTTTCTCTCAAATTATTATGTTACAATATACCTTTAAATTCTTAGGGTTGTCAGGATCTTGCAATAATTTAAGTAGAGCTACGCCGGCAGTACCTGTATAAACAGTATAGTCACTGAAATCCAAGGTATGTAAGTTTTCCATAGTTGACTTCCATTTCACGTTTATGCTTTGACTCACTTTGTTTTTACTCTATAAAATAAAAATACTTTTATGTGTTAACTAATTAAATATGACGCTGGTTGGCAATTAAATCATTTCCCAAATCATAAATCAATAATTAGTAGGTAAAATTATAAATAAGTTAAGTGATCTATTATATATTATTCTAAATAAATAAGAAATATTAATTAAACTATATAGAATATCAGCTGATCTATTTTCGCTAATATTAAAAAATCCCAATATTCTTTTAATTATCTGATCAATTTTGTTAACAAAACGGATTGATAAAATAATACATTGTGATTTTTCGGTTATGTCAGTAGTATCGTCCGCTAGCATAGAAAAAAGTAATATTTCCTGAAATTTCATTTTCTTTATGTACCTAATTAGCAAGACAATCTATTAAATCGTTTTGTATTGTATTTGACAAACCCGTGAACACCCCTTCTGTTTTTTTAATATGATCCTAGATTTGCTGATTGCGTTTAACTGCAAAATTAAAAAATTCTTTAAAATTACCAATATCTGAAGAACGATGGTTCTCGTCCCGACCGCGACATGCAAGTTCTTGTTTTGTTAAAATAATCGTAACATCAATTTAAATATGAAAATAAAATTATGTTTTTTCTAACTTCTTCTTCTTCTTTTTATATAGACATGACTCTGTTTTTCAATGTGCCTCCAGTAAGTTGTCATTCCATCGTTTTCGTGGTCTTCTTACTGATCGTCTTCCTATTGGGGAACTGTCTACTTTCGTCTTTACTACTCTTATTTATTGTCATTCAGCTTATATGATCGTTCCGTTCTACTCTACTATTTCTTACCAATTTTTGCTGTTCTCCACCTTGCATCGTATATCTGTACTTCTAGGTCTGTCCCATAGTGTCTTACCATCAATTTTTCTGCTTTCATCTCTGCTGTTTCTAACATCCTTTTTGTCCTCTCTGTGTCAGGTCTTGTTTCTGCCGCGTATGTCATTATTGGTCTGATGACTGTTTTGTAAATTTTGCCTTTCGTTTCTTTCCCGATATTTTTATTTCTCCATATTGTTTCATTTGGGCAGCCTGCGGCTCTGTTTGCTCTATTCACTTGATCTTCCACTTCGGTTTCGAGCTTTCCGTAGCTAGATAATGTGATGCCTAAATATTTAAACTCCATCACTTGTTTTATTACCTGAACTTCCAGCTCCAATTTACATCTTTGTAAATTTGCTGTTGTAGCCATGCATTTTGTCTTTTTTGGGGAAATTATCATGTTAAATTTTATGGCGGTTATATTAAATTGGTGCAGCATACGTTGTAAATCATCTTCACTTTGAGAGAGCAGTATTGCGTCGTCTGCATAGCAGATTAGTTTAAGTTGTTTTTCTCCCATTTGGTATCCTTTTTTAGTTTTTACTTTTTTTATTATTTCATCCATAATCAGATTGAACAAGAGAGGCCTCAGATAATCTCCCTCTCTTATCCCATTGCCAGCTTCAATAGGGTCGGTTAGTTCTTCTACTTTTACTTTTATTGTGTTGTTTTGGTAGATATATTCGATCGTTTTGATTATTCCTAGAGGTATATCTCTTGCATACACTAAGTGGATAACGTCTTTTAATTTGGCCCGGTCAAACGCCTTTGTAAGGTCCACGAAACACAGATATGCCGTTTGTTGTATTCTAATGATTTCTCTTGTCTCTTGCACTTGCCTCATTATAAATATAGCGTCGGTGCATGATTTTCTCGACCTAAAACCTTGTTGTTCTTCTGCTAGTGTTATAATTGTATTCAATTTATTTGTTATCACTTTGGTTGTTAATTTTAGTGTTGTGTGTAATAAATTAATTTCTCTGTAATTTTCCGGGTCCGATTTGTCTCCCTTTTTGAAGAGAGGTATTAGGATGCTTGATCTCCATTCTTGAAGAATTCTGTTTTGTTATATTATTTTTTGGATTAGTTTTAATAGTTGTTTGGTCAGATCTGGTCCTCCGTACTTTAGGATTTCGTTAGTTATTCTGTCCTCTCCTTGTGATTTTCTATTTTTTAATTTCCTTAATGGTTCCTTTACCTCTAACTCCTCAATATTTATTTCTTCGTTTGTCGTCATCTCTGGTGTTGGTGGTTCATCATCGTCACCTTTAGCAAACCGGGATCGAAAGTAGCCTACCCAAGTTTCTTTATGAATGTGTTTCGTTTTTATTAGTTCGTTCATCTCTTTTCTTTGTCCTCTGATCATTCTCCATATTTCTGTTTGTGTTCCGTAGAAAAGTACATCATGTGACACCTTATTTAAAAGCTTTTGAAATATTGATTTCAAGAGCTATTAATTCTAAAAGTATAATATTTTGATTCGGAAAGTGACAGAATCTAAATTATACAAGAAACAGTTTCAATGTACCTACATAACTCTAGATCTGGTCAAAAAACTTACCTAATGATCTATCATAAATAAGTAGTATTATTGACTTTAGTTTTGTTGCTATTTTAAAAGAAATTTGTTTATTGTGAATTTTAGAAATGGTACAACCTGGAAATTTACAAGAAAAATGCGAAATGATCACAATTTATGGTGAAGCTTGCTGGAATTGACCGTCCAATAGACAGGCACTATTTTAAGTCACTTGTAAGCAAATTTTTTGAGACTGGTAGTGTTCAAAATAACAAACTGACAGGAAGAAATCGTCTATCTGAAGATAAACATTAAAGATAACAGATTTCTGTGTTAAGTGAGTTTGTCGTTAATTCTTCTACCTTTGCCAAAACTGTTGCATACATTTGTGAAGTAGATCAAAAAACAATTTTAAAGATTCTGAAGAGATAAATTTCATCTTTACAAAATATAAATGGTTCAAGAATTAACCGAGGATGACTCAGATAGACGGATGGGAATATTGTGAAACCATGACAAATAATTTTGGACAGAAACTTAATTATCTTCAACACATTTGTTTCAGTGACGAAGCGACATTTTTTTTTGAATGGTGAAATTTATCGTCAAAATGTTAGATACTGATCTGATGAAAATCAGATTATTTCGAGTTCACATGCAATTTCCACAAAAACTAAATGTTTGGGCAGGAATATTAGGTCACTATATTTTAGGCCCAATATTTATTGAATGTAAATTAAATCATGAAACTTACCTAAATATGTTGGAGACCGAGATAATGCTGGCAATCAATGATATAATTACAAATCATCCGCAAGAGTACCCACAAAACGTCATATTTCAGCAAGAAGAAATAGCTGGGATACGCCCACTATGCCACCAAGGTGAGAAATTATCTAGATTATGTTTTTCTGGCAAGATGGATTGGTCGACGGGACATATAGAGAGACCAACAAAATCTCCTGACTTAACTCCATTAGATTTTTTATGGGGTTACTTAAACTCCAATTGCATCATACACAACCAGATATAATTGACCAACTATGTAAAAGAATTATCTCAGAATGATGTACAATTGATCAAAGGATGTTGCAAAAAGTTAGAGAAGAAACAAGAAATATATTGTATTACTGCCAAGAAGTAAATGGGAACATTTAGTTGTAATAGGAAAAATCATTAAATTGTTTCAAGATATGTATTAAAATTGTTTCTCGCATAATTTAAATTCTGTAAATGTTCGAACCAAAGTAGTATACATTTTTGAAATCAGTATTTCAAAAGTTTTTAAATGAGGTATCACATGATGTACTTTCCCATTTAAAAAAATCAAAGTTATGACTGTCACCTGAAGAGGGATCATGTAATCTTAAGAAACATTGATGCTATAAAAACAAATAAGTTAATAGCCGGTAGGTAACACTTATTCCAGCTCATGGTATATATACATATAGAGTTAAAACTAATAACCTTTGCAAGCACCAATAACATGTGAAAAAAAAAGAATAAATGTGGAGAAATTGAGGACAAAAAATAATTGAGAAAGCAACAGAAATATTGGAGAATGCCAAACCAGTTAAAAAGAAACAAATGCTTTGATATGGAGTGCTAACAAGCAACAGGATATCAAAAATGGAGCATACCTTAAGACCAATCAAGTAGGTTGAACAAGAAGGGCAAAGGCGGAATACCGGACCCTAAGAAGAGAAGAAAAAGGATTATATAGGAAAAAAAGTGACTATTTGAGGAAAAGCAGTTGGAAAGTATAGAAGAGATAAGAAATCAAAACAAAACTTGAAAGTTTTGTAAGAATTCAACACAAACAATTCCAAAACATCCAATGAAGAACTAAAATTATTAGGTATATTCAAAACATTGCTGAGATCAGTCCTCACATATGGGGCAAAAACGCCCCTAACACCCCTAAAGCACCCTAACATAGAAGAATGAATGACTTTTGAGAATATTCAAGCAAAAAAATATTTGGCAAAATATTTGGAGCTATAAACGACCAAGGGAAGTGGTGCAAAAGATATAACTTCTAATAAGTTGGAAAAATTTTCAAGTGTGCATTTACATGTACACATACTATTAACTAATATAGCCAATATAAAATAAAAACTATACATGTTAACTATGTATTTTCCTTTCGGACAGAGGACTGCTGGTGCCTATGCTAATCTTGGTCACTGCAAAAAATCAGCCATTTTAGAACATATCATTACACAAGACAACCCCCAAAATTTCTTCAAAATACTTTAGTGATTTGAAGAACATCACACCATATCATGGATGTTCAGGGAAGCTATCAAAATAAAAATAAATCAATTGTAAAGAAGGGAGTCTGCATCTACTATATATGAGGGTTAAAAATGGCACAAATATTCAAGGAAGTTCATCAGTAAGTGATAAGAATGAAAAAATGTCACATGTATGTCTGCTCCTGCTTCCCTGCTTTTGATAAGTCTACTAAGGAAATAATTCAGTTTTCCTTTATATATTTGTTATCATAAACAACTAAATAAAAAAAAAGATAAATGAAGGCTCATATTAAGCCTTTATATAGTTAATAATACATATAATAGGGTCATTTGGAAAATTATGTCCCTTAATTTATCCAGTTAATTTTCGATGTTTAAACTAATCCAATCTAATTAGGTAAATTAACTAAAAATCTAACTAGGTAAATTAACAGAATAAGTAAATAAAAAATAAGTATTAACAAATATACTGCCCTATACATACCCAAAGCAGTCAGTTTTAATTTTTCACCTCATAGACTTTATAGCACAGAATATAGCATGTATATATAGTTCTAATAAAAAATAACATCATGTTCAATAAAAACTTACCTCTTGTAGCCGTTCTGGCGTATAATCTTCAAAAGGATTGTTGAAGAACCTCATTTCCATCATTTCGTAGTAATGAGTAGAGTCGAACTGGAATGTAGCAAATTTTGAAATACTATTTAATACAATCAACGAATATTTAGTTGATAGACTCAAGCTGTTTATTTTCTCAAAGAGTTTGTTTACATTTTATTGAGGTTAATTTGACAAGAAATGTTTTCCAGCCAGCTCAAGTTGTTTGATGTTTCAAAACAAGCAAATATACGTTCATTCTTTTAATTCTGTATACAAACAATGAACAGTTCTTTCACGTACCACATGGGAATATATCTCTATCCTTTTTTCTAATATAATTGCTTATCATCCTTCGTTTAGCTGTCTCTGTTTCTGCTGTCATGCATTGTCATTTTCTTGTCAGTAACTTCGTAACTTGCCAGTTGTCAGTGGCCAGCTAGTCAGCTTGACGTTTATATGTGAATTTTTTGTTTAAATAAAAATTAAATAAATATGTTTCTGTAAGTAAGTAGTTAATTAATTGTATAAACAATGTCAAACAAAATGGACGAACTTAAACATAAATTTCTTGGACTGATAAATAAACAGGTAGGATTATTTCCAGCCAACATAAAAATGTTGATTTGTTACAAAAATAATGTCATGTTGCAGCCTCCAAAAATACCCTCTATGGGATTTAATGATGCAAATTATCATTTTTCTGATGTACCCACACTTTCAATTAACAGTAAAACTGTTCAGGAAGTGGATAGACCAGCTGACCAAGATATTCTTGAGGGCATAGAAGCTGCCTATTTTTCTATCAACCCTGAGTTTGATATATGCAGATTTGAATTAGAAGTAAGTTTTATTTATTTGGTCTTATAACAGTTAGTTTTTTTTGGAATAACATTTCATTTTTGTTTAAGAAATTACCTGAAACTCTTGATTGTGACCAAATTCAAAGAGATTTCAAAAAATTGAAGCAGCAACATCAAGTAGTATCCAAGAAAGTTTTGCAATTGATATTAGAACATCAAACAGGGTGCAACGGTGAATTTGAGAAGATGACTGAAATTTTAGATAATGTTAAAGAAACCTTGGAGTTGTGTAGAAGTAGCAGAAAGGAGTTAAAAGTAGCTGCAAGCCAGTTTACTGACAGTTTGGGTATTTTGGCAAATTATAGAAAACGAAAAATGGCTCAAAATTTGCTAAATAATTTAAATACTATTAAGGATTTGGTAAGTAGACGAACATGTCATAATTAGAATACAATGTTAGACTAACTGCAGGATCATTATGTTTATAACATAATTAATCAAACTCACATGTTTGCATACATTTCATTGGGAGAATAAATTGATAATGGGTTATATTCAATTAATAGTAATTAATTTTTGACAAAAAATTTATTTTGTTCATTTATTTTTTAAATAAAATATGCTGCTTATGACATATATATATGCATGTTTTTTATATCAAATTAAAGCTAATTTTTTTTTAATATGATGATATGTTTGTCTGAGAAAAGATGGTGTAAAATTAGGGTCGCCAACTGTTGAAAACATGAGGTATTAAAGATAAAATAAAAGACAGCTAGTGAGCAATGCTAATGGTTTGAAGTGTCAGTTTTGTGAGTTTTTAAATCATGAGTCGATAGATATACAGTGAATGGCTAAATTATGGAATATTATCATTATTTCGAGAACCATCGAGTTTTGAGGGAAATCCTGAAACAGGTTGATTTTTGTTATAAAATAAGCATCTTATAACGTACATAGAGTAGGGATGATATCAATGGTGTTTCTGTAGTGACATAACTGTTAATTTTTTTAAATCGAAATTAGTATAATGCGACACCTCATTTAAACGAGAATTTAATTCTCTATTTAACAACATTACATTTTTAACTAAAATATTCTTTTAAGGGTACAAAAACAATTTTTAATTTAACAACCAAATTATGCATAACAATTATTTTAAATTAAATGTTCGAAATGGCATCAATGGGTTCCTGCCATGACTTTCTGCAATAAATACTTAAAAAAGCAAAAATAAGTAAAAATAATAATGGACACAAAAAGTTATCTCATAAACACTGAAACTTTTTGTCAAATGTTAATTCAAGCAAATGATAGTGGCATAGTTACTATAATATTTATTGATGTAAATGTTTTGATTTTGTGAATTGCCATCAGTTGTCAATTGTAATTTTTACTTTTGAATACTAAATTATGGCTCACCTAAATGAGACACAACACATAGAAATATTAATTGTTAGCAAATGCAGAGATAAAAAAAGAACACAGAACGAGGTATGCAACTTATTCAACGAAAAATATCCTTGCTAACATGTATCCAAATGCCAATAATACAAATTTACCTAGTGAAAATATCTGGTTTCAACAAGATGGAGCCCCTTTGCATTAAGCACATGAAGTACGTCAATTTTTAAATCATTGCTTTCCCAGGAGGTGGATCAGAAGACGAGATTTTATAGAGTGGCCAGCAAGGTCGCCAGATCTAACACCTTTAGACTTTTTCCTGTGGGGTTACATAAAATCAAAAGTTTATGTCAATAGACCCCAAAACTTACAGGACTTTAAAGATAGAATTAGGCATGAAATGAGTCTAATTACTCCAGAAGTCATCCGCAATGTACTTGATGAATGTGTCTGTAGATTCACATATTTCTAAGAAACCGATGGATGGCATTTCAAACTTTTAATTTAAAATAATTGTTATGCATAATTTGGTTACTTTAAAGTACATTATTAATTAAATCATTAGTTGTAATTTAGTTGAATTTAAATTAAAAACAATTGTTTTTGTACCCTTAAAAAAATATTTTAGTTAAAAATGTAATGTCGTTAAATAGAGAATTAAATTTTCCTTTAAATAAGGTGTCACATTATACTGATTTCTATTTAAAAAAAATAACGATTACACACTTCACTCACACCGGTGGCGTCATCCCTACTCCATATACGTTATAAGATGGGTATTTTATAACAAAAATCGACCTGTTTCGGGATTTCCCTCAACACTTGATGGTTCTGGAAATAATGATAATATTCCATAATTTAGCTGTTCACTGTATAATAATATTATGTATTATCACTTATCAAACCAGTGCGGTTGCACCCTAACTCTATTTTACTTCATCTTTGATACGAAGATATCATGATATGAAGAATGAATAAAAGGAAAATACCAGGCTATTTTCAGAAGTTTTAAATCAAGAATTTATCATTTTGTAACCCTGAGGTAAACTTTAGAAAAAACACTGAAATATGACATAAATAATCATCACATATTTATATACTACAAGGCAGCCTATGACTCTGTAAATAGAAGAGAAATGGCCTCTGTCAGCGTCAATACATAGCAATTTTCAAAAGAGCCACTTACACTAGTTAATAAATTTCTCTTTAATTTCATACATTAATTTCTAATTATCTCATGTATATTTTCTTTAGTTGTAGCTGGTGTTTTATACACCTTATATTTTAATTTGCTCGAGAAAATAAAATCTAGCTTATTTAACATGGGAGATCATGTAGGCATGGATGCTGCCAAGCTTATTTTTAGGGGGCTGCATCTGCTGTTTCCACTTGAAGATCCATTTTGTGTAAGCAATCATCCTATTCTGGGCTTAGTTTTACAGTTTCTGGTGTGACTTCACTGTTTCCACTACTTTTCTCCATTCTTATCTTTCTTTAATTGCCCTTTCTGTATTTCTAATTTCCATACTCCTTAAGTCTTCTTCCACTTATTGTCTCCATCTCAGTTTAGGCCTGCCTCTGATTTTTTTACCTGGTGGTATCCATTCCATTATAATTCTTAATGGATTGCTTTTCTCTCTTCTCATTATGTGTCCATACCATCTAATTATTTGTGCTTTTATTGCTCTAACTATGTTCTCTTGGCCCATTCATTCTTGTATTTCAGGATTCATCCATTGACTTACATCCTCTTCCTTCTTTGGTCTCAGTATTTTCTGATAATCTTCCTCTCAAAACCTTTCAATTGCAACCTTCTTCTCTTGCTGTTAATGTAAATGTTTCTGCAGCATATACTACTATTGGTCTTATGGTTGTTTTGTAGATTTTCATTTTTTTGTTTCAGCTTACCTTCTTATCTCTAAACATTTCTTTATTTCTATAAAATGCTGTATTACTGCTTGAATTCTTCTTTTTATCTACACTTTCTCTGTTGACTAGTACTCCCAAATATTTGAATGTTTCAACCTCTTTGAAACAGTGTGCATCTTAGACAAGGAAAGAGAGAGGACAGGTAACAGTATCGCTAAAAAAGTGAATCCAAACTGCCACCAGAGGAAGTCATCAGCAGCGTTTCTTTGTATTTTTAAGGATTGACTAATTCGTATTTAAAATGAAACATTTTTGTACATTAAATGTTTTATTTAATTTATTTTATTTTATACAAATATTTTGGAATCATAATTAACGGAATTTATTTATTTATTTACTTTATGGAATTTTATGGAATATTTTATGGAAGTTTAACCCTCAACGCACATCGCCACTGGCAAATCATCATGGTGTGTGAGTGAAATTATTAATTATAATACAATTACTGAAATAACTATGCATATTTAGCATTCTTATTTACTAATTTAGATCTCACCTTTCCCTAAAATACTAATTTAAATTGGTTTTGAGGTTTAAAATTGAAATAAAAAGTAAAATCAATTAATATATAATTGCACTATTATAAATATTTACCTATGAAGCGATATTCCTGGTGTTTTCTGCTTGCTGCGATGTTTATAAAGAATATATGCACAATTCACCATTTTGTTAAGTAAAAAAAATAGGTATTTAATTCGCTTTTTATAAAAAACCACAAAAACAAAACTGGTGTCAGGTCTATTGTTTGCCACCAAAAAAATGGCAGACACATCAAAAAGTGGCATCACTTTTTGAAGGTTGGTTGGACGGGTGTTACATCCTCTCTCTTTCCTTGTCGAAGGTGTGCATCTATAGTCAGTTTCGACATTTGTGTCTTCTTTTTGTTTTCTATTTCTTGGAAGGATTTTTGTTAATGCCTTTTTATCTGTTGTTTGAATGGTTATATTGTCCGCATATCCTAATATTTGTATTGCATTCTTGTTTATAGTTTCTGCGTTTGACAGCTTTTTTATTATCTTGTCTTACTACATTTTCTATTTTTATTATTTCTGTTGTTTCTCTTCCGGTGTCTATTATTGCTTGGGAATCTTGTATTTTCAATTGTATCATATTTATAATTTTATTTATTTAGTCGGTCAGATAGCCAAGCGGGTTGGGCGGCCGGCTTCTCATTCGCTTCGATGCGAGTGATGTGAGTTCGATCCCCAGCTCAGTGTACAGAAAACAAAAAGGCTAACGCAGCAGTTTAGAATATGCCGGTGTCTGATCGGCCTATGGTGGAGCAGTACGGCAAGGGATAAGGGCTTGCGTCTCGGTGATACTCTTCCATAGATCCCTACCGGAAAGGCGTGTGCTGCCTAAATATATATATATATATATATATATATATATATATATATATATATATATATATATATATATATATATATATATATATATATATATATATATATATATATATATATATATAATTTTATTTAGTATATTTCTCTCATGTAAGTTTTGGATCATTTTTCTTTTGTTTAGTTTCTCTGTTTTACTCATATGTTTTCTCTTTCACTTATTTTAATGTATGTATACCGTCTATCGTGGATCTTCCTTTTCTAAAACTGTACTGGTAATCCCTATGCTTTGTTCTATATATATATTGTTAGTCTGTTTCTAATTATACCAGTCATTACTTTATATGTTACATTCAGTAAATTAATTGCTTAGTAGTTTTTGCATATTCTATGGTCTACTTGTTTTGGGATTGTCACTATAATTAGTAAGTCACTAATGTATAGAGGATACATCATTTATGTTTTTTTAAATAACAAACATATGAAATCAGAATTTCTATCATCATGGCATGTGTTTGTCTTTTTAAAGACGAATTACATGCTATGATTTTTGCGTAATCTTAAGTTAAAGTTGATTTCATGTAATTGAATGAACTATCTTACAAGTAAAGTCGTACCAGGAACACAACTCAACAATATTGGTAATATCATTTTAAAGTCGTCTACTTTAAAATGTATAATGTATGTCTGAATTGTCAATATAAATGAATCAGATAAAATTAAATTATTACAAGAATTTCTCAT